TCAGATATGATAAAACATGGAACCTGGATGTAACAAGACTGTCACTTTCAACTATATATGTAGACAGTATGATCTGATGCAAAGTTATTTACTTTACTTTTTAAAACCGGCATGAAATTTCAGCCTCAAAAGGCCAATATTTTAACCACTAGCTATCAAACAAAAGAAAATAAAGATAGTCTGTGAAACAGACAAGGTCAAACAACCAGTAATAAGTGCTTTTGATACAGATTCAGTGAAATCTGCTAAAAGGAATTCAACTTGTATGTGCATAGAACCTCATTTTTCACTTGCTTCATACTGACCTTTAGACTAGGACCATTAAAGCAGCACATTTTGCACTCTTATTCTGATTTTATCTACTTTTTTTGTATGTTTAGTGTTCAAAAATGAGTTAAACATCTACATTAGATACCACAAACACAAGTAGAAAATCAGAAAAACCTGTCAGAGAGAAAGTAAGCATGCTACTTTTGTAAAAATATTGAAACAACTGAAAAAGTTCCATTTTGGGCATGTAGGCTGAAATGTCACTTTTTACAAAATTTCTATCAAATAAAAGTGGAAATCATTTATTCTCATGTAGTTTGACAAATTAATACCAATAGATCATTCAGGGAAGTTGTCAAAGTACAAATTCAATATTTCCTGAATTTCACCTCTTAGTGGTCTAAACCTTGACCAATTCTAATAAAACTTGGCATGATTTAAGCTTAGTGTATTATGAAACAGTTTACAAAGTTTCAAAGCCATATGATACCAATTATAAAAATTGTGGCATTTTTTATATCTGAACTTTGGGTGCTGAATTGTGGCGTTGAATTAGAATAATTTCAACTATCAAATTTGGGCTTCCAAAAACCAAAATATACCAAAACTTACACTTTTTAATGTCTCTATGTATAAGTTATCACCTATTAAAAGCAACAGATAGCATACTTCATGTTTCAGACTTATAAAAAATGGCCAGAAGTAAATTTCATATGGGCCTGTGACAAAAAATAGAGGTTTTCAAATGAAGTGAGGCCTTATATGAAATCTAATATTTTTCACTTACCACAATTTTCTGAAGTTGCTAAGTTATAAAAAAACCTTTTACATGTTATAAATGTACTTTTAATGGAAATATAAGTTTCAAATAGCATAACACATGTGAATAAAATGGTCTTCAGCAATGTCAAGCTTAAAAAAACAGGTTGTCAATTTAGGTCTTTCCCCACATTTGCATATTAAAAAGCATATAAATGATATGGGAGATGGAGATATGCTTCTTTTTGCTCTAATCTTTGCTCAGATATGATAAAACATGGAACCTGGATGTAACAAGACTGTCACTTTCAACTATATATGTAGACAGTATGATCTGATGCAAAGTTATTTACTTTAATTTTTAAAACCGGCATGAAATTTCAGCCTCAAAAGGCCAATATTTTAACCACTAGCTATCAAACAAAAGAAAATAAAGATAGTCTGTGAAACAGACAAGGTCAAACAACCAGTAATAAGTGCTTTTGATACAGATTCAGTGAAATCTGCTAAAAGGAATTCAACTTGTATGTGCATAGAACCTCATTTTTCACTTGCTTCATACTGACCTTTAGACTAGGACCATTAAAGCAGCACATTTTGCACTCTTATTCTGATTTTATCTACTTTTTTTGTATGTTTAGTGTTCAAAAATGAGTTAAACATCTACATTAGATACCACAAACACAAGTAGAAAATCAGAAAAACCTGTCAGAGAGAAAGTAAGCATGCTACTTTTGTAAAAATATTGAAACAACTGAAAAAGTTCCATTTTGGGCATGTAGGCTGAAATGTCACTTTTTACAAAATTTCTATCAAATAAAAGTGGAAATCATTTATTCTCATGTAGTTTGACAAATTAATACCAATAGATCATTCAGGGAAGTTGTCAAAGTACAAATTCAATATTTCCTGAATTTCACCTCTTAGTGGTCTAAACCTTGACCAATTCTAATAAAACTTGGCATGATTTAAGCTTAGTGTATTATGAAACAGTTTACAAAGTTTCAAAGCCATATGATACCAATTATAAAAATTGTGGCATTTTTTATATCTGAACTTTGGGTGCTGAATTGTGGCGTTGAATTAGAATAATTTCAACTATCAAATTTGGGCTTCCAAAAACCAAAATATACCAAAACTTACACTTTTTAATGTCTCTATGTATAAGTTATCACCTATTAAAAGCAACAGATAGCATACTTCATGTTTCAGACTTATAAAAAATGGCCAGAAGTAAATTTCATATGGGCCTGTGACAAAAAATAGAGGTTTTCAAATGAAGTGAGGCCTTATATGAAATCTAATATTTTTCACTTACCACAATTTTCTGAAGTTGCTAAGTTATAAAAAAACCTTTTACATGTTATAAATGTACTTTTAATGGAAATATAAGTTTCAAATAGCATAACACATGTGAATAAAATGGTCTTCAGCAATGTCAAGCTTAAAAAAACAGGTTGTCAATTTAGGTCTTTCCCCACATTTGCATATTAAAAAGCATATAAATGATATGGGAGATGGAGATATGCTTCTTTTTGCTCTAATCTTTGCTCAGATATGATAAAACATGGAACCTGGATGTAACAAGACTGTCACTTTCAACTATATATGTAGACAGTATGATCTGATGCAAAGTTATTTACTTTAATTTTTAAAACCGGCATGAAATTTCAGCCTCAAAAGGCCAATATTTTAACCACTAGCTATCAAACAAAAGAAAATAAAGATAGTCTGTGAAACAGACAAGGTCAAACAACCAGTAATAAGTGCTTTTGATACAGATTCAGTGAAATCTGCTAAAAGGAATTCAACTTGTATGTGCATAGAACCTCATTTTTCACTTGCTTCATACTGACCTTTAGACTAGGACCATTAAAGCAGCACATTTTGCACTCTTATTCTGATTTTATCTACTTTTTTTGTATGTTTAGTGTTCAAAAATGAGTTAAACATCTACATTAGATACCACAAACACAAGTAGAAAATCAGAAAAACCTGTCAGAGAGAAAGTAAGCATGCTACTTTTGTAAAAATATTGAAACAACTGAAAAAGTTCCATTTTGGGCATGTAGGCTGAAATGTCACTTTTTACAAAATTTCTATCAAATAAAAGTGGAAATCATTTATTCTCATGTAGTTTGACAAATTAATACCAATAGATCATTCAGGGAAGTTGTCAAAGTACAAATTCAATATTTCCTGAATTTCACCTCTTAGGCCACAGACCACAATTAAATTCTCTATTAGTTCTTTATAACGTTTTGTTTCATTAAAAAAAATGCACCGGTTCTTTTTGTCAAATATTTTGTGTGTGTAAAGTACAGTACTAGTCCAAACATATATCAAACATTCAGAAATATCGCTCCCCAGCATCTTACAAATTTAGCTAATACACATCCATAGCCCTATGGACAAGTCAAGAGATGTTCCGAAAACTGTAAATATCACCTTTTTGCACCTGGCCTAATCACTCTTTCCATATCAAAATCAGTTAAAATACAACATCCAAAAGTTTATTTCACCTCTCTTCTTTCATTTCCATCCAAAAAAATCTAAGAAATGAGTGAGGAAGGGAAAGAAAAAAAATTTAGAAAAAATACACTCTAATTAAAAGGAACTATATTCGTGGACAACAAAAAGCGGGATCATTAATTGTGGTCTTTGGCCATATGGTAAATACTCTACTACCCTTCACGGAGACGCTTGATCAAGTGTGCGCTTTATTAAATACGACTCTATCCTATGGCAAATATTCTATTACCCTTCACGGAGACGCTTGATCAAGGGTGCGCTTTATTAAATACGGATGGTTGTTATGTACAAGACGTCATAGTTTATTACTTTGAATTTGAAATTTAATCGACAGTAATAACAGAACATTCAGTATAATAAATTAAATAACACATAGCTGAGAGGATGATAAAGCAGATTGTTACCCCTCTAAAAGACATTGTCAACCTTGGCTTCGCCTCAGTTGACAATGTTTTCTCGGGGTAACAATCTGCTCTATCACCCTCTCAGCTATGTGTTATTTATATATTAGTACCGTTGTGCAAATCTTTAGACTTATATAATTTTTTCCTTATCTGCGCAGTATCGTCTATATATTTTTCTTATAAAACTGTTGTGGCAGACACAATAGAAAACCAACTTTTCTAGCTAAGTTATATGCACTTAGTCTAATGTTTGTGTATGCAATGTCTTACAAGTATTGACATCTCTAATTTTGTTGTTTGCTGATTTATAATTTTCGTCTTCACCAATTTAATAGATATCTAAAAGTCAAATTAATTTTGGTTGAATTTCATCGTAAATAGTCTTTTAGAAACAGTTCTTTCTTAAATATATATTCAATTTAATAATACCATACGATAACTTTAATTATTATACTTCATGTCAATATGCCAGATTTTGATTGGTTAATATGACGGAGACAATCTACTCTATCCTATGGCAAATACTCTATTACCCTTCATAGAGACGCTTGATCAAGTGTGCGTTTTAATAAATACGGATGATTGTTATGTACAAGACGTCATAGTTTATTACTTTGAATTTGAAATTTAATAGACAGTAATAACAGAACATTCAGTATAATAAATTCAATAACACATATCTGAGAGGGTGATAGAGCAGATTGTAACCCCTCGAAAAAACATTGTCAACCTTGGCTTCGCCTCAATTGACAATGTTTTCTCGGGGTAACAATCTGCTCTATCAGCCTCTCAGCTATGTGTTATTTATATATTATCAATCAGCCTAGTATGCCTTTGCATTAAACATTTACAAATGGCAAGACATTTGCACTTGTCGAATTGTATACAATTTCAAAATCTTATTGTTTTGCTAGAATTTGGTATTTCGGTCGATTATGTTTGAATAAACTTATTTCAATTTAAATATTTTAGAGAATTATACTGTTTTTAAAACTTTTATTCTGTGATGAATGAATTAAGCCTATAATGATATACCATGATTCCAATTAGTTTGTGTTTTTTTAGGACTAAAATATATGCCTGGATACTTCTGTTCCTGTTCCCAAGAACAATAACCAAGTTCTGTTAGAGAAAGCCAACCATTCATGTCGTTGCAACTGTTTCTTCGCTTGTTCAGAAAGAACCTTCGGCGGACATAGGAATGATCTAGGCTAATGATAATCAAATACATACATAATAAAATACATAACAACTCTTAAACAAATAATGTAGCAAGATCTACGATAAATGACTTTTATGGCTCGTTCACACGTACATTTAATTCGAATTGAATTCGAATCGAATGCGAATCGAATTCGCTAATCGCGTTCACACACTCTTCTTTTTTTTTTTAATTCGAATCGAAATCGAATTCGCTAATTCGCATTATCCAATTCGCATTAGAAATGCGCTTTCGTTAATACGAATAAGTAAATTCGCATTAATTCAAATTAAACTGTGGTGTGGACACTTTCTAAATTGTAATTCGAATTAGTTTATAATTAATCAATTGATAATGCGAATTAAAAGTTGACGTCGTTCGGACAGTAAAGCGAATTTGACGCGCATTGCAATTCGAATTAGAATTAACGTTCGGATGTAAAACGTTTCAAATTAAGAAATAATTCCTTCATGTCATGCTCTATGCTCATTTTAACAGGGGTAGGCATTATATTTGTCGATATTTTACACTGAGCGTTTCGATTCTAATAGGACAAATACGGTATTTTTATAGGTCGAAGCGTAGGAAAATACATTAAAAATGTTTGGCTGTTCATATTTAATAAGTTTAATAACTAAAAGCAGGGTAAATATATATTGTTTGATAAACAATATATAATAAAGGTAGGTTTTCGCTGCTAAAATTTATATATTTCATTAGAATAACAATAAAAGTAAAGGGAATATAAACAGTAAATTTGTGCGCATGTGTCAAACATATTTTGTGCTAATTAGAACACGGCTTTGTTTACAAAGCGTGATAAGGACGTCATATTAGAATCGAAATTATTCTATCATGCCATGCTCTATGCTCATTTTAACATGGGTAGGCATTATATGTGTCAACATTTTACACCTCGCTAACGCTCGGTATAAAGATATTGACACATATAATGCCTACCCATGTTAAAATGAGCATAGAGCATGGCAGGAAAGAATTATTTCTAAATTAAACTAATTCGAATTAGTTAATGCGAATCGAATTCGAATTACGTGTGAACACAGCAGAATAAAATATAGAACTTCTAGATAAAAGTCAAAAAGCATAGGCGTCGGAGAGACTCCACAAATAAAATGTCTAAAAAGTTTGTGCATCAAATTAAAAAACAAAAATACAACTCGATATTATCTATTATCTAACTTCCTATACATTTCTAGGAATATGATTGATTAAAAGCAACCGCGTGGAGACCGTGTATATTTCATATTGGATTAGTAGGCGTGTTTTATTTCAATACATGGTTAGTAGTGGTGCTACGTCCCTTTGTAAAAACAACACGGTGTTATGGAAAAATCTGAATGGTTTTTACCGACGAATAAATTGATGATGAACGATTGAAATAAATTCATAAAACACATTAAAAGCTTACAAGTTGTTATTGTTTTAACATTTTGATCACTTTGATAGGCCACTAGTCTTAATGCCACATGTTAAGATAGTCGGTAAGATAAATTCGTTATACACAGTGTGCTAGTGACCTAATACGATATATATGGGGGTCAGTAAATTCAATATGGGGATTAGTTCGATGACGGACAGATAAAGGTAGGCTATATGTCTTTATTTACATAGAAGTGTTATTTCTATAAAAAATTATATACATTCGGATGAAACTTAGTGTACCTACGAATAAATATTCGGGTATCAACTCGTAAATAGTAGCGTGCATAATGTCGATTCATTTGCAATAACAAATTCGTTTTGATTTTGAAATGACTTAACAACACCAGAATTAGTCTGGACTCATCTTTTACGCATACCGTTATCTTTTTTTTTTCAAGCGAAGAATCCATTAAAAAAATCTTAATATTTCATACGTTTTTGTCATGATTGTATTATCTTACAGGAAGAAAATATAAAAATTAAATGATCTTCATTGTAACTCTACATACCCAGTCATTGAGAAATATCTATTAATACCTCCATCATCAATGAGAGCATCATAATCATCATACGATGTAGATATTAGTCGCTCTTTCTTCATCCATGACATTTTATCAGTTTCTTTTGCATCAAAAATGAAAAATGCCCTTTCTACCGCTCCCTGATGAACAGCTAATTTGACCTTAAATCGAAACCAAACAAACATAAGTGATAGGATTTAGTAGATGCTATTATTATTTTTTGACTATAATATATGTGATTAAGAGTTATTTTTCATCTTAACTCACCTTAATAAAAGAAATAGCTTTAAACAGCCATCATGATACTTAACCAATCGAATGTAAACAAAATGATGTTTTATTTGTCAGGCTTGCAGAAAAATAGATTAATATATTAAACCTGTCAAAAGTTCTCATTTTTAAATGAGACTACATGTTCATTGAAGCTGTTTAGATATATAATAAAAGGACAAGGAGATGTGGTATGATTGCCAATGACACAACTTTCCACCCAAAAAAAATTTTTAAATTTATAATTACATGATTTTAAAATTTTCAGAACGCGTTTGAAGATGTTTCATGTGTTGTAGTGTTACGATTACGATCCAAGATCTAACAATGTTAAATCTGATTCATTACTTCCTCCCCGACCAGTATGCTATTCTCTCTCTCTCTCTCTCTCTCTCTCTCTCTCTCTCTCTCTCTCTCTCTCTCTCTCTCTCTCTCTCTCTCTCTGAAAAGGACCAACCAGCAAATTAAGTTGTGCAAATCTTTAGGCGTTTATATATATATATATATATATTATTATTAAGATCCATTTATTACATCGGTGATCCGTTTATTTGGCAATCATTTGTTGTTCGACCTGTTAGTCAAATGCGTTTTGTTAAAATATACTTTTTCACTCATTTGGTCTTTTGGAAAATGTTGTTTGTGCTGTATTTAGACCCCTCTACCAAGAAATTTGTTTTGCATGCACACGTATAAAAATTGCGGTTTTTATCCAACGCAATCATAGGATAGAACGTTGTTTTCAATTTAGACTTGTTTATATATACATGTATATATATATATATATATACGTCTGAACCAGTGACAACTCTACAACAGATTTGTCCATCGGATCACCAGCAGTGATGGTGATACATGGCTGTGTACAACCTGTATATACAACTCGTCTAAACATCAGCCCAACAATGTGAGATCTGTTTTCGCAAATTTTTTGTTCTTCCCTCGCCGGGATTGGAACTCATGCTACTGAGATATCGTGACACCAAATCGCCTGCACTGTATCCGACGCGCTAGACCACACGACCACCTAGGCTTCATAATAAAGCTTTCGGTGGCCGGGTGTTACCTTTCCTCGTCAGTTTTAATCTAGCGTCGTAATACAGTACATGATATATAAGGCATGAAGATGGAATTGTTACAGATCAGCTGAAATATCTATTGTAAAGGATCCTACAAATTAATGCAATTACAGTCACAGAATAATCATATTTATAAGTACGTCTGAACCAGTGACAACTCTACAACAGATTTATCCATCGGATCCCTAGCAGTGATGGTGATACATGGCTGTGTACATTCTGTATATACAACTCGTCTAAACATCAGCCCAACAATGTTAGATCTGTAAATTTGCTTTCGCAAATTGCTGGTGATCCGATGGATAAATCTGTTGTAGAGTTGTCACTGGTTTAGACGTACTTATAAATATATTTATTTCTGTGACTGTATCTTTCATTAATTTGTAGGAACCTTTACAATAGATATTTCAGCTGATCTGTAACAATTCCATCTTCATGCCTTATATATCATGTACTGTATTACAACGCTAGATTAAAACTAACGTGGAAAGGTAAAACCCGGCCACCGAAAGCCTTATTATGAAGCCTAGGTGGTCGTGTGGTCTAGCGCGTCGGATACAGTGCAGGCGATTTGGTGTCACAATATCTCAGTAGCATGAGTTCCAATCCCGGCGAGGGAAGAACAAAAATTTTGCGAAAGCAAATTTACAGATCTAACATTGTTGGGCTGATGTTAAGACGAGTTGTATATATATATGTATATATAGATTAATATATGGCCTTTTCCATATCGGCCCGGGTATCATCCCGAGACCCCCATATCAGCCCGAGACGTAGTCGAGGTGCTGATATGGGTCGAGGGGTGATACCCGGGTCGATATGGAAAAGGCCAAGTATTAATTTCTTTATCATTTCCTTCCGACAATTGTTTTATGTAAGACAAATAAACAAATGAAATAACTAAAACAGTCAAAAACTTTTTAAAGAAGTTAAATCATGAATCCAACAAATACACTATAATTGTCCAACAATAGCAACACTACCTCCATATATATTATGGTACCATTTCCTATAGAGGCATTTTGAAACATTAAAAATTTGGAAGCTGGAAGCATGGAGGAAGTATTTACAGTTTTATGATCATTATTACTACATGTTGTACTATATGAGATGATTCATAATTGTCAATGGCATTTATTAGCAAGTACTAATTGTAAACTAGCATCATTTTGAAAATTTATATCATCGGATTTAGCCATGTTAACATCTTTTTTTCAATAACAGCTGGTTCTGTACAAACAGATTTACCACTGGATCCAATAAACCTTATCGCTATTTGTCCGCCATTACTGGACATCCCAAAAGTTCCCGTAAAATTTTGACGTCATAATAAAAAATATCTGAACGCCACAATGGAAAAGTAAACATACAATACCGGAAATACCGGAAGTAACTTGCACGAGAGGCACTGTTATGGGTTTTTTGCACGAGACGCCCTAATTATAGATTATTACATGGCATTTTCCATATTGGCCCTGGTATCAGCCCTAGACTCCCATATCAAGCCAGAGGGCTTGATATGGGTCGTGGGCTGATACCACGGACCATATGGAAAATGACATGTAATAATCTATTTATCACATATTTTCAAGCAAGAGAAAAAAGATAGTATATACCAAATTATGTTTGATATTTTCAACAAAAATTCAAAAAAACATTTAACGAAAAAAATTTAAAAAATGTATCACAG